ATGTACTGGAATAATACATTCATAATTAAGTACAGAAGAAGGTTCATTCTAGAGATCAATGCCTTCATTTAACATTGGCTGGTAACTCCCCGAAGAATAACTAGAGTACCACTCAACAAACGCAAAAGTATGGGTGATGACAGTTTCGTTGATGGTTATCAAATGTTGAAATAAATACAGTATACGGCCAGGAAACGCTGCTTTATCTTCACTGTTATTCTCAAGATAATAGGCGCGGAAATAAGATCCAGAAGAGTATTCCTGTCCAAGAAGAGATATCCGTTTCATTTTCTCAATTCGGTTATTGACAAAAATCTGGTTAGACTCGCAGTTTGAATAATGGCCGAAAAGATCGTGACTGCCATACGCGTGTCTGTAAAACTCCAGTAAACATTCATAATGTCCCTTGCATATTGTAATCCTTTGGTCGAGTTTAATCGGAAACACTGAAGGGGGTAACGGCTCACAACCCAAAGCAGAATGACGAGGGTTTAACGAATATTCAACAAAGTCAGACAGAGAAAAGGTACTGGCAGTAGAAGATGGATGCAATGCTGCTAATTGATCTTGACTATTTGAAATGCAATGCAGAAAGTCAATTGCGAACTGGGGGAGATGGTTGACAAAAGATTGTATGAAGCTGCCAATGTATGTTCTCTCCAAAAATCTCTTCATCATTGTTGATTCGAAGCCGCCTTTTTGATTTGTTTCAATATTCTTCAACAAACCATTGTATCTCTCGAAACTGAATAACCAGAAAGCATAAATTGGCCCAAAGTCATGAACACACTCGCCAAGATGAAGATGTAGATGCATATTCGGTGTCACGGCCGATTTTCCATACAGTGTCTGAAATCTTGTACAAAACAATTGGAGTTTACTGTGGGCTTCATCTATTTCTTTGTCATTGATCGAAGGTTTTGTGAGTAAGCGGCATGCGTCAACAAACAAAATCCAGTTTTTGAGATTCTTGGCTGGGAGCACATGCTTCAGAACAAATGGAGAGTATATGACGCACCACGACTTCCACTCGTCAGCTTTCATGAACGAAAACCCATCGGCAATCTTCTTTGTTATACGTGCATATCCACAAGGTACAACAATACCATTGGCAAGCTCTTGCATAGTTAACTGATTCTTTTCATTGATGTAGTTACACTTGCGCCATATCTGAATCATTTGCTTTGCAGTTCCAAGATAGAGGTTATGCATCGGGTCTATAACTGTAAAGCGGACTGGGTCAAAGTAAGATAACCGATGAAGCTCTGACCACTGAGTGCCGTTTTCTTTTTCTAGGCGTGTTCGCTCAGTATTGTTCAATGCATTTGCCCAGCTGACAGCGTGTTCCAGATTCATTGTCTTTGTGCATCTCACCCAATTGCTATACTTGAATCCAGAGTAGTCAAGCTTGCTGGTCTTCTTTATAGTCATGAATTGTCGTTGACATTTGTGACAGGCGCATGTGCTCATGTGGCCAGTAAATCCAGAGGTTTTGCGAGCGGCAGGGATATCACAGGCAACACACATCAATGCAGCACGAACAACAATCTTTCTATTTTGTGAGTCTGTCATTTCTACACCAATGTACATCTCCAACAATTCGTCAACGAGCGGCTTCAAGTAATGATTCATGCTGTCAGTGCTTGCTTCCTTTGGCCCAGGCATCATACCAACAAGAATGACATTTTCAGACTTAAGGCGTTCACTCCATGGGAGATTGTTGATAGAGAGATATATCGCACCACTGGAATGTGTTCATCCATCAAATGGCTAAAACCAATTGATATTCAGAGTCAACATTAAAGATCGGCTATCATCAACAAACCGTCTGCCATTGATGTCTTTAATATCACTCCAAACTGCACCATCGAAAATGTCAAGTTTGGTGTTTTCAATTATTTGACGACTTCTCCACAAATTGATCTTGGACACGAAATCTGGCTTGGAGAATTTTTGTTGCAAGGCGTACTTCAGAGAGTTGAATGGATATACCATTGCTGGAAGAGAACAATTTCCGGTTGACACTTTAAAGAGATTGTTGTTGCAAATGGCAGATTGAGAGAATTTCTTAAATGTACAGACTCTTTGACTTGTTTCCGGAGGATAAATCGAATAACATTGTAAGCATGCAATGTATACTGTCATTCCGTCTGTTGCCATGTTAAATCCTGTCTTATGCTTCAAGCTATTGATCGTCAGTGGAAGGGCGCCAGACATATCACAGAGAGACAGTAGAGTATTACAAAATTCAATGAGAATCGATCCACCGCTTTCCACCAAAAAGATCAAGTGAAATATGACAATGAATACTGCAACAAAGCGGATATTCAAGGGCATGTTATCAAAAGACGAAGGACGAACTATGAAGACAAAGGTTAAGTTAGTTTAAATTAATATATTGATTAATTGTCTATACCGTATTAATTCATACCTGATTCTACTATCGAGGTCCCACTGGTCTCATCAAAGTTTTCTTCTTGTTCAAAATCAAAACCGGTATCGCCTTCTTTAATCTCATCGCCATCAACCACAAATGCTCCTGTAATTGTATCTTCGGCAGTAAAGATGGACTCTTCTTGGGACAAAGGTAAGTCAACTGGAAAGGAATAATTGTTGTAAAGATGTAGAAATAAAAATATAATTACAATTATAATCATATAAAAAATAAAAAATAAAAAAAATATATATCAGTTTCAATTATTATTTTGTTCATTTATTTTATTTTATTTTCTTACCTTCTTGATCAAATTCAATGTTTTGTTCTTCATTTTCGTCTTCATATTCGCCTTCGCCTTCATTCTCGTAATCATAATCATTGTCATTGTCACTGTCAATACTATCTACTTCCATGTCATCAAAATGTTCTTCAGGAACATCTATTTTATGAATTAATTTATATTAATTTTACATGTACAGCTCGAGTTATTCTTGTTATTTACCCATTGCATCGTCTTTGGCAACAGGCACTATATGTTTCTCATAGTGTCGTTGTGCATTTTGTCTTTTCTGTTTCTTTCCACAGCTATCCAACTTTGTACAGTCTGGACATTTGCAGATAACATAACTGTCTTTCTTTTGATTATTGGACATGTTGATTGTTTTAAATTATAAAAAAAATTATATAGATTTTAAGAGATCTTGATCAAGGTCTTTATATACCAAAAAAAATTATAAATAGATAAAATACTGCTCCATGCCATGACTATAGTATGCCAAGTAATTCTTTGATACATCTACCGCACATATCATCATAATTATACTCATATATCGTTAAGTCATTAACCAAGTCAAATACTGCGTACATTACTAAAAGTATATGCAATTTTTTTTAAAAGTCTTTTTTTAGAATTATAATATTTGATATGACAATGATTTGACCATGACGAAAAATAATCCAAAAATGGAACATTCGCCTCTCACAACATGTGAAATAAAAAAATCTGATATTTTAGTTCCATATATCAAAGGGAAAAATCACGCAAAAATATTGCCACAGTAAAAATGAAATCACAACCTTTTGTCTCGTTCCCTTGAAATATATGGATTAAATATTTGTTTTTATATTCACATTTATAATACATAAAAAATATTTAAATAATTTATTTTGAAATAGAAAAAGTGAAACCTTAAGAATATATATAATTTTTATTAAATATTATATTAACTTTTGTATAAGTGCTTTTTCAATGTAATTTAGAATTATATCAAAGAAGTGTATAATATAAAAAAAAACCCAATTTTGTAATTTTATGGCCAAAAAAATGATGGTAGTGTGATTTTACAGCTAAAAAAGAGCGATCTGAAATCACAACAGAAAAAAATAGAAATTATTTGAAAAAATTAAAAATCGAAAATTGTAGTAAAATTTTTGCAGGTTTTCAGGAACTAAAATCAGTGGTCTTTTGCAGTGTTATAGAATTTAGTCAAAGCATAAACGATGCCCAAAAGTTCGCGTTTGGTGACAGGATAGTTGCGTTCAGATTTGGAAAGTGACCATGCCATAAAACCAATGTAGCAATATTGGTTGTCTATGATCTGATAGAGCACGGCGCCAATACCTGTGTTGGAGGCGTCTGTGGCAACCAGAAATGTTTGGGTTGTGTCAGGGTGGCTTAGGACTGGTGCGTGTGTAAGTGCAATTTTGAGCTTGGAAAAAGCTTGCGTTTGTTCTTCTGTCCATAACCCGTGTAGTGAGTCAGCATTGCGTAGTTTGTCCAGAGGAGAAGACAGTTGCAACAAGTTGGGAATGTGCTCACGAAAATAGTTGACGAGACCTATGAAGCATTAAATGTCTTTGTCAGACTTGGGTTGTGGCCACATGGTAGCATTGTGAACCTTGCGAGCATCAAGATCAATACCTCTAGTGCTTACAGTAAAACCCAGTAATGATACAGAAGTTTGTGCAAAGTGACATTTCTGCGGATTGAGAATGAGATTGACATCCGTGAGCTTTTGAATAGCTGTTTGGACGTGTTTAACATGGTCAGACATGTTAGTGGAAAAAACTACGATGTCGTCGACAAATGCAGTGACATATGGAGTATCGTGATAAATCAAATTGACTACTCACTGAAACTTGGACGACAATGGCTTGAGACCAAAGGGACATCCTCGAAACATATACTGATTGCCTTCAAACGTGAATGTGGTCTTGTGTCTATCGTCTTCATGAATTTTGAATCGATGAAAGGCACTCTTGAGGTCTAGCGTAGTGAAGATTGTTGCACCCCGTAGCCTGTGAAAGAGTTCAGAGATGAGTGGCAAAGGGAATCTGTCGTCAGGTAGCAGAGTGTTGATGGCTCTGGGATCTAAGCAAGGACGCTTGCCTGTGGGATTACCAAACTCATCTTTTTTAGAAGCGAAAGTAAGTGGGCTGTTCCACTTAGTATTGACGGGTGCCCTTTGTATGGTGCCATCAGTAAGCCATTGGTTTATATGTTTGGCCATCAGTGGAACAAGTTGTAAAGCAATAGGATATTGTCGTCTATAGACTACTTGACCTGGGGGCGTTGGTAGTCGTACAATAGATTTCTTAACTGTACAAAATGAAGTGATGGGTATGGCTTCATTGGCTTTAATAAAGGGTAGTAGAGCCTTCATGAATTGAGAATGTTCAGTGGGTGTACCAGCTGGTGAATTATTGGGCTTTTCTATTCCAGCTATGGGTGTAGGGGTCTGAGGTGTATTAGAACCGTACCAACTCTCTGCTAGTCCCAGTAAATGAATACCAAGGCTTGGCATTAAATCTGTACCAAAACTAACATCTATATTCTCAGCGAGATCCAAAACTTCAAAAGAATGTGTAATGTGTTTGTTGTTATAAAAAACTTTTATTGGTTTTGTTACTCCTAGTCTATGAGCTATAGCATTACTAGTGGCCAACACGATTTTCCCTTTGCGAGGAATTATTGACCACCCAAACTTGCTACAGAGCTTGGTGTTGACAGAGCTGATGGTGGCCCCGGTGTCTACCAGTGCCCATAGTTTTTCCTCTTCTAAAGAAATAGGAACGAGATAGGAGTGAGTAGACCGTTTACTGAGATCTACGTGAGTGCCCGTGTACTTACATGGGGAGCACTGTTCAAAGTCCATGTGCATGGACTGATCATCCTCAGATGTGCTGACATCTGAGGGAGAACTGTCGTCAGAGACAGTGTGGGCAGAACGGACGGCGAAGTGGGGAGCAGAGCCCCTGGGAGAGCCAGACGCAGAACTGGAAGAGCTGGAGGAACCAGCGATGGAAGAACAGCGATGTTTGTGGGACCAAACTTCACCGCACCAACGGCAAGGAGCAGAACCAACGTACTTGTTGATGTAGGGGGCTTTTTCAGCCCAATTGCCCCCTTTTGCTGCCAGTGCGTTCTTGAGGATGCGGCAGTCTTCGGAGTCATGGCTGCCCTTGCCATGGAGCGAGCACCTCTTGCTGGAAGAGTGCTCACGGCTCTGTGTGGCTTCACAGGGAGAACCAGGGGAGCGGGCAGAAGAGGTGGCAGCAGACATGCAGGTCGTCTGTTCTGGGCTGAGATGGCGGCCTTTGGGCACAGGGTCGTTATGCAAGCTCATCAGAAAGACCTTGCTATAGATGGACCGGGCCAGGGAAGCAGCCTTGTCAATGGTGTCCCGTTTTTCCCTGGGCATATTGACTTGTAGCAAGGAGACTTGTCTTGCCAGCTCGGGCAGAAGTGTGGCAGTGTATGCAATGGCTGCCTGCATGTTGTCTGCCACGTCAGCTTCCCGACGAACCCTTTGGTAACGGTCTGTGTAGTTGCTGACGGTTTCTGTAGGGCTCATTCTCATGAGCATCAGCTCATGTGTGAGCTGTACTTGACGCTCAAGGTCGTTGATTCCATATACCTTGATAAAGGCGTCGCGGACAAAGGACCAGGGAAGCTCGGGGGAACTACGAAGGTAGTTGTCATACCAGGAACGCTGTTCTCTTGACAGAACAATGGGGAGTAGACGGTGCCAGTCCACATTAAGGTCCAGACTGTATGAGTGGAGCACATCCTCGAATTTGTCCAGACACTCTTCAATGGACGAGTAGACCTTCTGGGTGTTGTCCCACTCGTTTCCTTGCCACTGAAGAACTGGTAGCTCGCGAGGTACAACACGGGATTGGGGAGCAACTTGCTCAGCGCGGGCAGGACCAGAACGAAGCAAATGGGTGTGTGCTGACATGATGATAGCCAGATCGCCTTCTGTGGCCGCAATTGTCAGCCTTATTTGATTCTTGGTGTCCTCAGGCTGGTTTTGTTCGATGGCATCGGCTAGGGTGATGGAAGCAGCAGCCAGGAGATCCCTAAGTCTGGTAATAGCCAACATGGACTTGTTGGCCTGTTCATTGCTTGCAATTTCACTTGTGTTGAGGCTGCCCTGAACACTGGGGGCGGGAGACTGGTTTTCGGAAGACATGCTTTGATTGTGATAAGAGTTCACCGTAAAAAATGTTATATTTTTAGAAAAGAAAGAAAAACAAAGTGCAGACGAGAAGTACGGTAAGACTTTGTTTATTGATGAAAAGAGAGATGATCTTCTATTGCTATTTGCTATGTGAGTTTATATAGACATTGCGTGTGTATTTAGAATAATGATATGAGTATATCATGTGATGTCTGTTTTCTTATATCATAGATAATATATTGTTAAGTTATTACCCACGCTCTTGTTTGAGTGATTAGTGATGTTGACTAAGGTGTGTGACCTTGTTATTGGTATATTCTTTATTTAATGATAGTGTGAGAAATAATGTATAATTGATACTGGTCGCTTATTCAATATGTCTTTGTCTTATTGTCTGTGCGCTCTATTTGAATCTACGATTATGTTGGATACAACACTCTTTCTCTTGCCAAAAAGTATCTGCATGAACTGTCCCAGCAATTAGAGCAATCATCTAAATCTGCCAGCCAGATACGTATCGACATGTTGAGAGCTATTGATAGATATGGAAGAAGTTCTGATTGTAAGGTCAACTATTATGACATTTGGAACTTGATGAACAAGGTAAATAAACCCCATTTATTTCAAATAATATTTTATTTAACCAATTGTTTATAGATAAACAAGAGATTGTATCATTTTAACAAAGATCAAATGGTTTCTTTCTTGATATAGATAAATGAGAAGCTTCCTGCAATGAATTTTTCGATTTTTAAGGGCAATATGAGTTACTCTCCCAACACAAATGCATTTGCTTACGGTTTTATGTCACCAACACAGCAGATTAAAATGAGAAATGCCGTTTCCTTTTGTTTGGATGCTACACATGCTATCTCTGACAAAATTGATGAGATTTTATATACCCTTCTTGTTCGTGACAAAGAAATTGGTAGAGGATGGCCTGTTGCTTTCATGGTAACAAATGACCGGGGTGTTGGCCCTATTGTACAGTGGCTACAGTTTTTGAAGTCTTCCCTTTTGCTGATCAATCCTCAGCAAATTACTATTGATTGCTGCTCTGCAGAAGTACATGCAATCCAGACCACTTTCCCTTCCACACAGATTCAATTCTGCATCTTTCACGTCACTCAAACATGAAACAGAAAGCTGTCTGACTCTGTTAAGATTCCAGGTGCTTTGCCTTCTGAGGCTCATCTTCTTCGTAGTGAAATGATAAGATATCTTCAAGATATTGTGTATGAAGACAATCTGGACCAGTTCCATCAAAAACTTGTGGAATTCAAAAGTGAATTCAGTGACCAAGAATTATTCTTAGACTACTTTGAAAAAAATCGGTGTACTGAAGAAAAGTTTAAGATCTGGAGCTGTGCTTATCATGAATGGCAATTTTCTCATATGCTGACAAACAACTATATTGAATTGTGGCATAATCAGCTTAAAACCGTGTTCATGAAGAGGTCAAGAAATAAGAGATTAGACAAACTTGTCTTTATCTTGGTACATGATGTTGAGTACTATCTAACACAAGAGTACAAAAGAGTTATGTCAAACAATAGAACAATGAGCTCTTTTACTAGACAGCAAAGAATCAGAGAGATGGAAGCAGAAGAAGTTAATGATGATGCAAGAGAGACAATGATTGTTGCTTCAGTATCAGCAGAAGACAGTAGCTGGCAAGTGCAGTCATTTGTTGATGAGAACACAGCATATGTAGTTGAGGTTACAGATAGGCTGATTATGAAATGTACCTGTTTCGATTTTGAAAGAAGACAAAAACCATGCAAGCATATATATTTGTTAAAAATGCACACTGCCTTTTCTTTGCACTTCTCAACCACTCCTTTAAACTCTACCTATGAACACAATGTCATCCCAATCCCTCAACCCATCACCACAAACAATTGCTCCTCCTTTTTCTTTGATCAGTGCATTCAAACAAATCAAATACTGCATCAATCACATCAAGACCTTGCCACATTAGCACAGTATACAACAGACAACGAAGCAAAGCATATATATGACATACAGTAGCAATTACTTCGTTCTATTCAATTCTTAAAAGATAAATATGAAGTACATTTTCATCGATCAAATAATCAATAAAAATATAACTATTTCTCTTTTTTTTAAAAAAAACCTTCTGTAAATTGAAACAATTTTCAAAGTGACTTAGTAAATTATGAAAGTTCTTATTTTCTGGTATGTAAGCTTCATTTTTGGTTAAATATTTATGACATACCAGGAAATATAGACGTTCACTGATATTTGCTTGCGGTATTTGAAATCAATAAATTGACAGAAATTCTCAAATTTCTGATTTAAAATAAAATACACTATAAAATTAATATAAATATATTATTCGAAATTATCAAGACAATACCAATAGTCTTTGAATAGAGATACATTCTAAAATGAATAATTATTAATATTCTAGTTAACTTACCAAATCTTACTGGTTATACATCTTTGTGCATAATATCAGATATAACTAATAAATTGTAATAAAAATAAATATATATTTATGAGTAAGACAAAATGATAATTTGAATTTTTTAAAAAAAAAACTTATCATCATGTTTGATTAAGAGATTATGAGACTCAATGGAAATAAGTAGCAATGACTATATAAGCAATATGATGAGTAACAGAGATTAATAAGAGAATAATATCTTACTTTGATGTATCAAACAGAGTATAGCCAAACAAAGAGATACATATTTAGTATTGAGCTATAAAAAAAAATTTAAGTGAAATTGTAAAAACATAAGCAAAAGAAAAAAAAAGAAAATACCAATAATAAATGTTATTAAAAGAAAAAAAAAGACTTTGTCTTAAAATTCAGTTTGACTCTGACAAAATGCGGGCTGTAAAAAGTAATACTCCAAAAGAAAATGATTATTATCATCTTGAAACACTACTTTATGCCTCATTGAGTTGGAAAAGAAGTTGTCTAAATGTAGATTAAGTGGTTGAGAGATGTGCTTAAATATTAAACAAAAGGCAGAAAGTTAATCTTCACTGCTTATCCTCTTTACTAGTATATGAATTTTAAATATGATATAATAAGTGTAGTGAATTATAAAATATTAGTTGAAAATTATTAATATTTATTTTATTAATAGAAAATGTCAAAACGTATTTTTACTGCTCCCCACTGACTTAACCTACACATGAATGCTGTTCTTAATAGCACAATTGTAGAAGTTGTTTCTCTAATTTTTATACTAACTCCAGAAGTAGCTGTTGTCGCAGCCCCTGATGTTCAAGTCGCTGTAACACCAATAGATCATGTCCTTACCTTATTGGCAGCCAACAATGTATTGGTGCAATTCTTATAAGAAAATGCAAAAGAAGTGACTGATGCAATAACTCATTTGAAGAATGGTCTGGATTTGTCCAACAAGACAAATAAATATTTGAAGAACTCGGTCCTTCAGCTCATGACTTCAAATACCAAAATAAAAAAGGCAACAACCAGCCAAAATTTCATGCTGCCTTCTGCTGTACCAGCAGATTCTTCTTCTTCCATAGATGATGATGTGGTATTTCAGGTACAAAACAATAAAAAAAAAATAAATTTGATAATAGAGACATATAGAAATACTTTGAGACTATATATAAGTTGCCCTTTATTCATGAATAAAAAGTGTCCCTTTTTATAAGAAAACACAATCTGCTCTTGTCATTACGTCTTAGTTTCTTAAGACTTTCTTCCTTTACTATATTTGGTTATTAGAGTGTATTTACTGCTTAACTAGTGTTGGTGTTACAATTATGACATCAAGTCATAAATCTTACTTCTTTAGCTCTTAGCTATTCATTTCTCTTTTATATTAGAGCTTTAGAACTTTCTACTAAATTAGCTCCATATCGATCTAACAGAGTTTACCTGGCAGTATAATATAAGTATCTTAACAATCTTTAAGATATTATTTACAGTACTAACTGTAATAATTATTGGCCTGATGACTTAATCATTTATATATATTTTAGGGGATCTATATGGACATGCAAGAAAAATTAGGGTTGGACATGCAAAAAAAAACTAAAAGGGAGAATTAAATGTGACGTCACTTGTAATTGGCCTTTGGGAGTGTTACTGACAAATTGAGCACTGATAAGATATGCAAAACAATCAAATTGAAGAGTTAAATGTGACGTCACCTATAATTGACTTTTAGGAGTGTTACCAACAAATTAGACACTGATAAGACATGCAAAAGCAAGCAAATTGAAGAACTAGACGTGACATCACATATAATTAGTTGGGCAATGATATGGACATGCAAGAAAAATTAGGGTCGGACATGCAAAAAAAGACCAAAAGGGAGAATTAAACGTGACGTCACTTATAATTGGCCTTCGGGAGTGTTACTGACAAATTGAGCACTGATAAGACATGCAAAAGCAACCAAATTGAAGAATTAAACGTGATGTCACCTATAATTGACTTTTGGGAGTGTTACCAACAAATTGAGCACTGATAAGACATGCAAAAGCAAGCAAATTGAAGAATTAGACGTGACGTCACATATAATTAGTTTTGCATGTTACACGCATTTTTTTTGGGGGGATCAGATAAATTACCCTCCAGATTGCCAATTAAATCACTGCCCTTTTTTACTACAACATCAGCGCATAATTTTTTTTGACATTTAACATGAGCAACATTAACAACATCAACAACACCAACGACTTTGTCATTGTTAGCGAGACGTCGAAGAAGTACAATGCTGCCTTGACTGAGTTCAACTCAATTTTTCTTGTTGGAAGAGAATTCTCTTCAGTCGTAGCTGTTCGAGAAGCTGCCAAAGCATATGGTGTCAAGCATAACATTGCTCTCACTACTGAATATGCATCAAGCTCTCGCATCAAATTGATTTGCAAGCACTCTGGCGAATATAGAGATACCAGAAAAGCTGAGAAGGTTGCTTCCAAAACATCAGTTATGGGTGAAACTCTTTCTGGATGGGAGAGAAAGCGCGAAAAAGACACGCAGAAGCATGGCTGCCCTTGCTTCATGTATGCCAACACCAAGAAGGGCGGAAAGCTCACTGTGCGCTCCCGTGAGGCAGAGCATAATCACCCCATTGAAGAAGACCGCAGAGCATATGCTATGCACCGCAAGCTCTTGCCTGAGGCAATGGCACTTGTGGTTAAGCATCTGGAGAACAATGACGATGTATCCACCATCTTCAACAGTTTGAAGATAAATGGATATACAAACATTGTTCGCCATGACATTGCTAATATAAAGCAACATTTCGGAAAATCGGAAAAAGGAAAGGAGATGTTTGACTTTATCACCACTCTGCAAGATCTTGACTTCCATGTCAGGTATTCTGTTGGTAATACAGAAGACAATCAAGTGAATATGGTCTTCTTTGTGCATCAGGATGCGATCAATGAGGCACGAAGAATGCCTGAGACTGTCATTATTGATGCCACATATAAGACAAATAGTCATCGAATGACTTATGTCAACATTGTTGGTACTAGTAATGTGAGTGGAAACCCTCGTACCACTTTAAAAACGTATCCAATTGCCGGTGCTTGGGTAGAGCATGAGACAGAAGAAAATTATCTCTGGGTGCTTAGCTGTCTCCGCGATGCAGTCTGGCCCGATGACAACAACAACAACAACAACAACAACAACAACAACAGCAACAGCAGCAACGACAAACAAACAACACTTCTCCCAGATGTTTTCATCACGGACAATGAAAAAGCATTGAGAAATGCTATTACTCGAGTCTTTCCTGAGTCGAAGCAGTTGTTGTGCTATAAGCATATCAAAGACAACTTTAAAAAGCAATTGCTTCCGATGATGAAGGGAGACGAGAGTAGCGAAAAGAGAGACCTGTTGGATAAGCTGTCAGAATTCCTTGACCGAATTGCTTTAAAATGCATTACACATCAAGAAGTAAAAAACGAAACAAATGGATACCTTGAATTTGCAAAGGAAAATTGCAAAGACCAAGGAAAAGCTGCTAGTGCTTTTCTTGAGAAGTACGTATAAATTTTTTAAATTTGATGTAAACAGTATTTAACTATAAAAAATCGTGTTTTTTTTAATATACTTTATCAGAAAAATGAAAGACAAGGAAAACTGGGTGAACATGTATGTTTACAAACATGCCCATTTCAGCAATCGCACGTCGAACCGTGCAGAAAGTGCCCATTCTTCTCTCAAGCATTCTCTTGGTACTTCCTCGGGTAAACTGAAGACAGTTACCCTTAAAGTAAAAAAGTGGTATGACGAGTTAGTAAGTTTATTCTATACTATTTTATGCATTTATTGGTTATAATATATTTATAAATTGTACAGGTTGCAGATCACAAGCATCGGCTAATGGTGGAAAGCCTTGGAGAAGGAACAAAAATTGTGTTCGATAAAGTCAATGCCGCCAGACTAAATGACATCCGTCTTAAAGTCTGTAGATTTGCAATGGATCAAATCAAATTAGAATTATCCAAATCCATTATACCCAAAAAACTAGCCAAAGAGTGCAAATGCCTCATACAATACAACTACCTGCTTCCTTGTTACCACACACTCGCCAAATTCGATACCATCCCAATCTCCTGCATCCCAAGATGCTGGAGAAAAAACTATCTAGAAGGAGAAAGTAATATATATAATAATAGCAATAATTACGTGACGATTTTCTCATATAACATTTTATTATGTAGACCATTTAACTATCCAAAATGCAACCCCAGTACCCCCAAACATCAACAATATCAAACCAATAACCCCAGAATTCAACTATGCTCTTGAGCTTATTTGCGAACATTTTGCCAATGCTCAGAGCGAACAAGAACAAATCAATATATACCAATTGATAGAAAAAACTTTGAAACAAATCGACGCACAGAAACTCGAAAACCTTAAGGGCCCAACAGTAGTCGAAGCCATTAAAGGCTGACCAAAAAATACCAAGCGCAAGATGATTGCATTAGAGCATTGCATCAATACCGAAAAAGAAAAAATCACAAAAAAAATTAAAACAGAAAAAGAACAAAAAAAGTAAGATTTTAATATTGTTTAGATTTAATTTACTAAATCTTTGCTTTGTTTTCTAGGCAAAAAATATCCTCAGCTAAAGAGCAAAAAGCCATAAAAAATATTATCAACCTTGGGTCACCATGCGATTCCACATTACTAACAAATCTCACAATCGCACCAAAACATATATCAACAATCTTTTCTCCTGAAGCAGACGGAAATTGTGGGTACAGGGCGATAGCAATGGAAGTGTACCAGGACCAGGAGGAGTGGTCAAAAGTAAAAGACAAAATGCTAGAAACATTTTTAAAGCACCAAAACAACTACTACCATGGAAGAATGGAGCATGGCAATATGCCTGCATCCAATAACCCACTAATTCGCAGTCTCCAAGACAAGCGCTCACCTCTCCCCCAGCAACATTGGTTCGGTACAATCGACCATCCTCAACTTGTAGCCAATACATTTAGCAGAGCAGTGGCTGTATATTGGAATACTCCAATTGAAACAGGCGACTGTCTTTTTGTTCCATTTGCTACCTTGCCAGAAAAAGTGGAACCGCTAATTATTATCTTAGATATAAACCACTTTCTTCTTGCCAAGCGCAAAAACACTCGAAATTTCTGTTGGCCAAAAATCAACCCCTTTCATAAAAGAATAATTCAAAAACATGGCCTTGAAGATTATTCTTTGATGTACTAACAATCAAGATATGGCTTTTAAACTAGAATTATCTTGAATTATACTAACTTTTCGTATATATCTTTTTTAGATTTTTTTTTTACTTTTTAGATTCTATATTTATCTCTATTATCAATATTCCCTTCTGTTTCTATTCAATTTATTATTATCTTTCTATTTATCTATATTTCTATATTTATCTTCTTTACAATCTTCCATTTTTATCTTTATATCTATCTCATTATCATTTTTTATATTTTTACAATCAACATTAATTTTGAAACATTTAACAAATATCAAGGCTGACCCCCCAAAAAAATGTGTATAACATGCAAAACTAATTATATGTGATGTCACGTCTAGTTCTTCAATTTGCTCGCTTTTGCATGTCTTATCAGTGTCCAATTTGTTGGTAACACTCCCAAAAGTCAATTATAGGTGACGTCACGTTTAATTCTTCAATTTGGTTGCTTTTGCATGTCTTATCAGTGCTCAATTTGTCAGTAACACTCCCAAAGGCCAATTACAAGTGACGTCACGTTTAATTCTCCCTTTTGGTCTTTTTTTGCATGTCCGACCCTAATTTTTCTGGCATGTCCATATAGATCCCCAATTAGTTTTGCATGTTACACGCATTTTTTTGGGAGGTCAGCTTTGATATTTGTTAAATGTTTCAAAATTAATATTGATTGTAAAAATATAAAAAATGATAATGAGATAGATATAAAGATAAAAATGGAAGATTGTAAAGAAGATAAATATAGAAATATAGATAAATAAAAAGATAATAATAAATTGAATAGAAACAGAAGGGAATATTGATAATAGAGATAAATATAGAATCTAAAAAGTAAAAAAAAAAATCTAAAAAAGATATATATGAAAAGTTAGTATAATTCAAGATAATTCTAGTTTAAAAGCCATACCTTGATTGTTAGTACATCAAAGAATAATCTTCAAGGCCATGTTTTTGAATTATTCTTTTATGAAAGGGGTTGATTTTTGGCCAACAGAAATTTCGAGTGTTTTTGCGCTTGGCAAGAAGAAAGTGGTTTATATCTAAGATAATAATTATCAGTTCCACTTTTTCTGGCAAGGTAGAAAATGAAACAAAAAGACAGTTGCCTGTTTCAATTGGAGTATTCCAATATACAGTCACTGCTCTGCTAAATGTATCGGCTACAAGTTGAGGATGGTCGATTATACCAAACCAATGTTGCTGGGGGAGAGGTGAGTGCTTGTCTTGGAGACTGTGAATTAGTGGGTTATTGGATGCAGGCATATTGCCATGCTCCATTCTTCCGTGGTAGTAGTTGTTTTGGTGCTTTAAAAATGTTTCTAGCATTTTGTCTTTTACTTTTGACCACTCCTCCTGGTCCTGGTACACTTCCATTGCTATTGCCCTGTACCCACAATTTCCGTCTGCTTCAGGAGAAAAGATTGTTGATATATGTTTTGATGCAATTGTGAGATTTGTTAGTAATGTGGGATCGCATGGTGACCCAAGGTTGATAATATTTTTTATGGCTTTTTGCTCTTTAGCTGAGAATATTTTTTGTCTAGAAAACAAAGCAAAGATTTAGTAAATTAAATCTAAACAATATTAAAATCTTACTTTTTTTGTTCTTTTTCTGTTTTAATTTTTTTTGTGATTTTTTCTTTTTCAGTATTGATACAATGCTCTAATGCAATCATCTTGCACTTGGTATTTTTTGGTCGTCCTTTAATGGCTTCAACTACTGTTGGGCCCTTAAGGCTTTTGAGTTTCTGTGCGTCGATTTGTTTCAAAGTTTTTTCTATCAATTGATATATATTGATTTGCTCTTGTTTGCTCTGAGCATTGATGAAATGTTCGCAAATAAGCTTAAGAGCATAGTTGAATTCTGGGGTTATTGGTTTGATATTGTTGATGTTTGGGGGTACTGGGGTTGTATTTTGGATAGTTAAATGGTCTACATAATAAAATGTTATATGAGAAAATTGTCACATAATTATTGCTATTATTATATATATATTACTTTCTTCTTCTAGATAGTTTTTTCTCCAGCGTCTTGGGATGCAGGAGATTGGGATAGTATTGAATTTGGCAAGTGTGTGGTAACAAGGAAGCAGGCAGTTGTATTGTATGAGGCATTTGCACTCTTTGGCTAGTTTTTTGGGTATAATGGATTTGGATAATTCTAATTTGATTTGATCCATTGCAAATCTACAGACTTTAAGATGGATGTCATTTAGTCTGGTGACATTGACTTTATCGAACACAATTTTTGTTCCTTCTAGGCTTTCCACCATTAGCCGATGCTTGTGATCTGCAACCTGTACAATTTATAAATATATTATAACCAATAAATGTATAAAATGGTATAGAATAAACTTACCAACTCGTCATACCACTTTTTTACTTTAAGGGTAACTGTCTTCAGTTTACCCAAGGAAGTACCAAGGGAAGAGTTGAGAGAAGCATAAGCACTTTCTGTACAGTTTGACATGTGATTGCCAAAATGGGCATGTTTGTAAACATACATGTTCACCCAGTTTTTCGTGTCTTTCATTTTTCTGATAAAGTATATTAAAAAAAAACGATTTTTTATAGTTAAATACTGTTTACATCAAATTTAAAAAATTTATACATACTTCTCAAGAAAAGCACTAGCAGCTTTTCCCTGGTCTTTGCAATTTTCCTTTGCAAATTCAAGGTATCCATTTGTTTCGTTTTTTACTTCTTGATGTGTAATGCATTTTAAAGCAATTCAGTCAAGGAATTCTGACAGCTTATCCAACAGATCTCTCTTTTTGCTACTCTCATCTCCCTTCATCATTGGAAGCAATTGCTTTTTAAAGTTGTCTTTGATATACTTATAGCACAACAACTGCTTTGACTCAGGAAAGACTCGATTAATAGCATTTCTCAATGCTTTTTCGTTGTCCATGATGAAAACATCTGGGAGAAGTATTGTTTGTTTGTTGTTGCTGCTGTTGCTGTTGTTGTTGTTGTTGTCATTGGGCCAGACTGCATCACGAAGACAGCTAAGCACCTAGAGATAATTTTCTTTTGTCTCATGCTCTACCCAAGCACTGGCAATTGGATACGTCTAAAGTGGTACAAGGGTTTCCACTCACATTGCTAGTACCAACAATGTTGACATAAGTCATTTGATGACTATTTGTCTTATATGTGGCATTAATAATGACAGTCTCAAGCATTCTTTGTGCCTCATTGATTGCATCCTGATGCACAAAGAAGATTATATTCACTTGATTGTCTTCTGTATTACCGAAAGAGTATTTGACATGGAAGTCAAGATCTTGCAGAGTGGTGATAAAGTCAAACATCTCCTTTTCTTTTTCCGATTTTCCAAAATGTTGCTTTATATTAGCAATGTCATGGCGAACAATGTTTGTATATCTATTTATCTTCAAACAGTTGAAGATGGTGGATACATCGTCATTGTTCTCCAGATGCTTAACCACAAGCGCCATTGCCTCAGGCAAGAGCTTGCATTGCATAGCATATGCTCTGCAGTCTTCTTCGATGGGGTGGTTATGCTCTGCCTCACGGGAGTGCAGAGTGAGCTTTCTGCCCTTCTTGGTGTTGGCATACATGAAGTAAGGGCAGCCATGCTTCTGCGTGTCTTTTTCGCGCTTTCTCTCCCATCCAAAAAGAGTTTAATCCATAACTGATGTTTTGGAAGCAACCTTCTCGGCTTTTCTGATATCTCTATATTTGCCAGAGTGCTTGCAAATCAATTTGATGCAAGAGCTTGATGCATATTCAGTAGTGAGAGCAATGTTATGCTTGACACCATATGTCTTGGCAGCTTCTCAAACAGCTACGACTGAAGAGAATTCTCTTCCAACAAGAAAAATTGAGTTGAACTCAGTCAAGGCAGCATTGTATTTCTTTGACGTCTCACTAACAATGACAAAGTCATTGGTATTGTTGATATTGTTAATGTTTCTCATGTTAAATGTCAAAAAAAATTATGCGCTGATGTTGTAGTAAAAAAGGGCAGTGATTTAATTGGCAATCTGGAGGGTAATTTATCTGATCCCCCAAAAAAAATGCGTGTAACATGCAAAACTAATTATAGGTGATGTCATGTTTAATTCTTCAATTTGGTTGCTTTTGCATGTCTTATCAGTGCTCAATTTGTCAGTAACACTCCCAAAGGCCAATTACAAGTGACGTCACGTTTAATTCTGAATGTCTATATTTTCTGGTAGATGGTAAAGTATTAGCCGAAATTGACGCTTATCTACCAGAAAATAAGACAAAAAATACAACTACCAGAAAATAAAAAATGCGATAATTTATTAAGTCGTTTTGAAAGTTGTTTCAATTTACAAAACATTTCTTTGAGAAAAAAGCTAGATAGTTATAATTTTATTCTTGTGTATGAGATCTGCGAAGATGAACTTCATATTTGTTTTTTATAGACTGAAAGACTTGGAGAGAGCGTTGATATGCATCAAACAAAGTCTGACCATCATCTTCAGTCATATACTGTTGCATAGTCAGTATATTTTGGTTTGCATACCAAAGTATTTGATTGATGTCAATACATTGTTGTATAAAAGCAGATGTACGACTGATAGTTGGTGTGATTGTAGCTGTTTCAGAGATAGAGACTGACTGTATTACATTTGTACTTGTGACAGAAGGTGGAGAGAAGTAGAGAGATCGGTTTGTATGTATTTTAAGCAAATACATATGCTTACAAGGTTTATATCTTTGCTGATAATCAAAGCAGGTGCACGAAATAATCAAGTTTGGCTCTGCAACCTGAACAACATATGCTGTGTTTTCATTTACAAACAACCAAACTTGCCAATTTACATCTTCTGCAGTACCAGGAGCAACAATCATCATTTCCCTGTCATCATCATCGACTTCTTCAGCTTCCATCTCACGTATTCTTTGTTGTCTAGTAAAAGAACTCATTGGACCATTGTTTGATATGATGCGTTTGTATTCTTGGGTGAGATAATACTCAACATCATGTACTAAAACAAAAACAAGCTTATCAAGTCTCTTGTTTCTAGATCTTTTCATGAAAACTGTTTTTAATTGATTAAGTCAGGACTCGATATAGTTATTTGTGAGCATATGGGAGAATTGTTGTTCATGGTATGCTCTACTCCAGATCTTAAACTTTGCTTCTGTGCACTAGTTTCTCTCAAAGTAATCCAAGAAGCTTTCTTGGTCGTCAAAGTCTTCTTTAAACTGTATAATTTTATGATAAAACTCATCTATGTCTTCTTCATAAATGATCTCTTGCAGAGACTTCATTATTACACCACGTAAAATTCGTGCCTCTGATGGTAAGGATCCAGGAATCTTCACACTGTCAGATAACTTTCGGTTCCATGCTTGGGTTATATGAAAGATGCAAAATTGAATGGATGTTGCAGGGAAAGTTGTCTGAATGGCATGAACTTCTGCTGCACAACAATCAATAGTAAATTGCTTTGGGTCAACAAGCAAAGAAGATCTCTTCAAGAACTGCAGCCACTGCACAATGGGACTTACACCTCAATCATTGGTTACCATAAAGGCAACAGGTCATCCTCTACCAATATCTTCATCACGCACCAAAAGGGTATAAAGAATCTCATTCACGTTGCTAGAGATTACATGAGTAGCATCCAAACAGAAAGAGGTTGCGGTTTTCATTTTTTCTTGCTGAACAGATGACATAAAACCATATGCAAAGGCTGATAGATCTGGAGAATATGAAGTGTTTGCCTTAAAGATGTTGAAGTTTAAGGCAGGAAGTTTGTTGTTCATCCAAATTAAGAAAGAAGTCATTTGGTCTTTGTCAAAATGATACAGCTTGTTATTGATCTATTATAGAAATATATTAAAGTAAATGCTATAAGATATATTATTTTTAAAGCTTACTTTGTTCATCAAATTCCAGATATCATAATAGTTAACTTTTCTTTCAGACTTTCTACCATATCGATCTACAGCTCTCAACATATCAATTCTAATTTGACTAGCAGATTTTGACAACTGTTCTAATTGCTGAGCCAACTCGTGAAGATATTTCTTTGCAAGAGGAAGGGTGCAAATGTCACTATGCATATTACCAGGAGTATGCTCTGCATGATCTTTTGTAACAACAAATTCATAAAACTTGGGTGTCTTAAAGAATCCTTTCACACGAAGAAAAGCAGAACACTTGTTTTTCTTTGTTCGCTTTTGAACCACACGCAAAGCTGCCTTAGATTCATAGGTTTCCCAACGATGACAGGAATACTTCTGAGAAAAACACAACTTAATACCAGTTGCTTTGGCTTCTTCAGCAGTAATGTTAGTGGGTTGCTTATTGGTGTTGTGAATGACCCACTTGACTGCACAAGCTTCCCCAATCTCTGTTAAACATTCTTTCCACTCAGATGTTTTTATTCTAATAATATTTTCTAATCTAAGTGTTATCACTCCTGGAACAGAAGAGCATTCTAAGGCTTGGGAGATTGTTGCCAAAGTGTAAATGGTTTCGTTAGATTGAGTGTTGTTGATTGACATATTTGGTGAGAGTGTATATTTTAATAAAATGCATAATTTAATGAATATAAAATATCTGTTTCAAATAAACAATTTAAAAACAAAGAAAAGGATTGGCAGTCACCATTTTGGTTAATATTTTATCATCTACCAGAAAATATAGACTTTCTTAATTCTCCCTTTTAGTCTTTTTTTACATGTCCGACCCTAATTTTTCTTGCATGTCCATATCATTGCCCATATTTTATACTGATAAGATGATAGCTACTACGCTATCCCAATATGCATATATTCTTATATGAGATAAATCCAACATCCGAGTGTCTGGATCACTACAACAGTATCACTTGGCAAATAAATGTAATGTGAATTACAAAATACAAGAAGAAAAATATAATAAAAATCAAAAAGAATAGATAATTTTACAGGTCAGAATTGGTAACAGACAGGTAAAAAAATAGAGAGAAGATAAAAATAGAAATTGTGCCAACAACAAAGTTTAAGAAAGACAGAAAAGAGAAAACAGAGAAACGAAATATGTCAAGATTGATAGACAACACTCCAAAGAACAAGAACATTGTGTTTGAATGAAGAATAATGATAATAACATACAAAAATAAATAAGATCAAGGATAGAATAATGATTTTATTGATTGAAAAGATTGTTTCTTTTATAAATAAAAATATTTGGTTAAAATAATTTTTTGAGGGAAGGAAAAGAAAGTCAAGTGAAAAATTTTACTACATGTAACTAGTGTTGATAGTAGAAGTGGAATAGAAAAATATAAAGACAAAAAAATAATAGTATAGTAAATAAATAAAGGTAAAGTAAAAATATAGTAAGGTAGAATAGAAATAAAGTAATAATATAATAACAATGTAGTAAAGTAAAGTAAAATATATAAAAATATTATAATAATGAAGTCTAATAAAAATAGAATAAAAAATATTGTAAATAAATATTGGCAATATAGAAATGTATAAAATTAGGGTAAAGAAGTATAATTTTTAGTAGGTGACAGGTGTTTCTGACGTGATGATGTAGGTGGACATTTTAATTATTTAAGGGACAAAATAAAATTGGGGGTTTGGGTATAAGGGATATTGGAAACAAGATTTCCCAAGAAACCTGGGGGGACCACATCTGTTTCTTGAGACATGTCACTTGGTTGACTCACTGCTGATGTTAACATCCACAAGTCTGATACCACCCATCACGGCTCACCACCAGACCAAACCACTGATAGAACGCACTATCCGGTATCTATCATCAGAAACTGGACACATCCAAATGTGCTTACTACACATATGTCAACTGTGTTGCGTGTAGTATGTAGTTGTATATAGAAGATGTATAAGAAAAGATAATTGTATATAAGAAGAGGAATTGAAAAGAGAAATTGAGGGTTTGGGTTCGATATTAGATAAATTGAGATAATAAAAGAGTCTCTTTGTTACTAAATAGATTAGTTAAAGAAATTAAAAGGGAAACTAACAATATGATAAGAGTGTAAATAATTTGAATGATTAGAGAAATAGTTAAACTAAAAGAAGTAAAGTAAATAATACTAATTCTAAAGAGTTAACTATGAGAAAAAAATATTTAATAGAGTAAAGGATTTAGTTAAAGGGAAAATTTACTATGGTAAATTTACTAAGAGATAAATAAAAGGAGAAATCGGGACAAAATAATAAAATAAAAGGGGATGGTCAATCTTCCACAAAGACTTGACAGAAAAATAAATAGAACAGAAGAAATTTCACAAAAGAGATCAGAGATAATAGACAGCATCTTGAAAAAAACTTGTAACAAAAAAATTTGACAGCTGTTTGTTGATTGATTTTAGAGAGATATTTATACTATTTTATGAATAAAATATATGGCAAAAATAGGCTAGATAAAACTCAATTAGATAATCATAAATAAAAATATAAAGAAAAATAACTATATAAATATTTCATTATGAAAGAAGAAATAAATGAAGTTATAATATATAAATACAAGAAAAGAAAAATATTGGAAAGAAATATGTTATAAATAAAGAGAAAAACTATTCAGTTAACAATTTTGGTAAAGTAGTGTTTGAGAGAAACCGTTACATTTAGTGTGCAGGAATAAAATAAAAAGAAAAGGGAGAAAACAATTTCAAGAAAAATAAAGGGGAAAGATTTTAATTTTCAGAAAATTAGTTTTTGGAAAAAGGTAATTTTGTGAAAATGGAAGAAAGAAATTAAAATTTTGAAGAAAAATTAAAAGGGGTTTTCAAAAGAAAGTCTGAACTTGGTAAAATTTGGTTTTTGGACTAAAGCCAACAACATGATCACAATATGTGTCAGCTCTTGATGCGTAATGTGTTAGGTTTGTTGTAGATTATAACAGATCACTTGGCAAATAAAACACAAGGATAATAGAATAGAACAGAAGATGAATATAGCAAAAGGTAGCAAGCAGCAATAGTTGACAGATAAGAAAAGAAAGAACAACCAATAGAATTGTTGTTAAAATTGAGAGAGAGAGAAAGATATATGAAAAGAAAATGATGAAACAGAAAAGTAATAACCGACGAGGAGACTAAAACCAACAAATAACCTTCCTAAAACCAAGGAACCAATATGTTATATTGCAAAATAATATAGATCACAAGGAGAAGAAAACAAAAAAAAATACTGAAACTGAATGAATGATTTATTAAGTTGAGTTTACTTCTCTTTTTATAGTTGACAAGATTTTAAGTTGATAATAGAAGCTGGGAAAAATAAAGATAGTAAAAATAGAATAATGAATAATCGATATGACAAGGATAAAATGTCTGAATAAAAATATGGTAAAAATATAATAATAAAGATACCGATGTTGCACAGAGATGTCGGCAAAATGAATTATGTGCATTGTAGAAGAGGAATGCTACTAGCATGGAGGACCATGATTTCAAATGAGTATAATGTAAACAAATATGTTAACAAGGGAAAAGGAAAAAGTATTATATATATAAAGAACAGGGAATAGAAACAAGATTTTTCCTGTGCATGGAAAAATTCTCCTCTTACCACCGAGGGCACAGCACCACATCAACAAACCGTTGATGTCAGCCTTTCATAACCGGGACGACACGTCACGACAAACCGCCGGACAAACCCACTGAGCAGACTGACCTTCCGGTACCGGACACCACGACATGATTAAACGTTAAAGTTGTTTATAACACACTTGACACACTCTGAGTTGGAGAGATGGCCGAGTTGGTCTAAGGCGTCACGTTAAGGCCGTGATCTCTTCGGAGGCGTGGGTTCGAATCCCACTCTCTTCATATTTTTTCGACCTAGCGCTGTAGTAAATGGCAGCATTTATAACTCTGTACTCGTAGCTTTTGAATGTCTACATTTCCTGGTATGTCATAAATATTTAACCGAAAATGAAGCTTAATTACCAGAAAATAAGAACTGTTATAATTTACTAAGTCACTTTGAAAATTGTTTCAATTTACAGAAGGTTTTTTTTAAAAAAAAAAGAGAAATAATTATATTTTTATTGATTATTTGATTGATGAAAATGTACTTCATATTTATCTTTTAAGAATTGAATGGAACGAAGTAATTGCTGCTGTATGTCATATATATGCTTTGCTTCATTGTCTGTTGTATACTGTGCTAATGTGGCAAGGTCTTGATGTGATTGATGCAGTGTTTGATTTGTTTGAATGCACTGATCAAAGAAAAGGGAGGAGCAATTGTTTGTGGTGATGGGTTGAGGGATTGGGATGACATTGTGTTCATAGGTAGAGTTTAAAGGAGTGGTTGAGAAGTGCAAAGAAAAGGCAGTGTGCATTTTTAACAAATACATATGCTTGCATGGTTTTTGTCTTCTTTCAAAATCGAAACAGGTACATTTCATAATCAGCCTATCTGTAACCTCAACTACATATGCTGTGTTCTCATCAACAAATGACTGCACTTGCCAGCTACTGTCTTCTGCTGATACTGAAGCAACAATCATTGTCTCTCTTGCATCATCATTAACTTCTTCTGCTTCCATCTCTCTGATTCTTTGCTGTCTAGTAAAAGAGCTCATTGTTCCATTGTTTGACATAACTCTTTCGTACTCTTATGTTAGATAGTACTCATTATCATATACTAAGATAAAGACAAGTTTGTTTAATCTCTTATTTTTTGACCTCTTCATGAATACGGTTTTAAGCTGATTATGCCACAATTCAATATAGTTGTTTGTGAGCATATGAGAAAATTGCTGTTCATGATAAGCACGGCTCCAGATCTTAAACTTTTCTTCAGTGCACCAATTTTTTTCAAAGTAGTCTAAAAATAATTCTTGGTCACTGAATTCACTTTTGAATTCCACAAGTTTTTGATGGAACTGGTCCAGATTGTCTTCATACACAATATCTTAAAAATATCTCATCATTTCACTACGAAGAAGACAAGCCTCAGAAGGCAAAGCATCTGGAATCTTAACAGAGTCAGACAGCTTTCTGTTTCATGCTTGAGTGACGTGAAAGATGCAGAATTGAATCTGTGTGGAAGGGAAAGTGGTCTGGATTGCATGTACTTCTGCAGAGCAGCAATCAATAGTAATTTGCTGAGGATTGATCAGCAAAAGGGAAGACTTCAAAAACTGTAGCCACTGTACAATAGGGCCAACACCCCGGTCGTTTGTTACCATGAAAGCAACAGACCATCCTCTACCAATTTCTTTGTCACGAACAAGAAGGGTATACAAAATCTCATCAATTTTGCCAGAGATAGCATGTGTAGCATCCAAACAAAAGGAAACGGCATTTCTCATTTTAATCTGCTGTGTTGGTGACATAAAACCATAAGCAAATGCATTTGTGTTGGGAGAGTAACTCATATTGCCCTTAAAAATCAAAAAATTCATTGCAGGAAGCTTCTCATTTATTCATATCAAGAAAGAAACCATTTGATCTTTGTCAAAATGATACAATCTCTTGTTTATCTATAAACAATTGGTTAAATAAAATATTATTTGAAATAAATGGGGTTTATTTACCTTGTTCATCAAGTTCCAAATGTCATAATAGTTGACCTTACAATCAGAACTTCTTCCATATCTATCAATAGCTCTCAACATGTCGATACGTATCTGGCTGGCAGATTTAGATGATTGCTCTAATTGCTGGGACAGTTCATGCAGATACTTTTTGGCAAGAGAAAGAGTATGAATATCCTCACAGATATCACCAGGAGTATGATCAGCATGATCTTTGGTCAAGGTTATCTCATACCACTCAGGTGTCTTAAAGAATTCTCTGACGCAAAGAAGAGCAGGACACTTATTTTTCTTAGTTCTCTTTTGAACTACTCGCATCTCTGTCTTAGATTCATAAGTTCCTGAACAATGATACGAGTACTTCTGTGAGAAGCACATCTTAATTCCACTGTTTTTGGCTTCTTCAGCAGTGATATCAGTACATCGTTTGTTGGAGTTACAAATAGTCCATTTGATCGCACAGGATTCACCAAGTTCTACAAGGCATTCTTTCCACTCAGATGTTCTAACTCTAATAGTATTGTTGAGTCTAAGTGTCATTACTCCGGGAATAGATGAGTACTCCAATGCTTCTGAAATTGTTGCAAGAGTGTAAATCTTTTTATTCATTGGTGTAATATTGACAGTAGACATGTTTAATAGCAATATATGTAAATAAAAGAACGCACTTTCAGGGGATATAGAATCTTTGTTTCAAACAAACAATTCAAAAACAAGAAAAAGTATTGACAGTCACTATTTTGGTTAAATATTTATGACATACTGGGAAATATAGACTTTCTAGCTTTTATATATCAAGTCTCGATCTGGTATTTCTTTTCTGACACTTGTAACTACACCTTACAAATCTGGATAACAATTTTCATTTATCAAAATGCAAATTTCCCCCGCAAAATTATTTGTCACATTTGCTAACTGCATAGTGTTATCTAGTTATATAGTTATCTAGTGTAAGACTAATAATTTTACCATTAGTTACTAATAAATTACAATATATGATTGGTAGCAAAATCAGGTTCCCATCAGATGAATTGACACATCATCTAGTCATTATTCCAAAACAGCTGAAATAATTGTTTATTTTATTTCATATTCTTATTATTATATATTAAATACTTAAAAATAAATGTTAATAGCTTCTTGAATGATGCTGCAAACTTGCCAACCAATGCAGTAGAAAAATTGCGATTAGAATTGCAGCATAGAAAAGAATTCGAAATTAGATTTGCTAAAGAATTTAATTTGCAACAAAAGGTTGTTGAAAACATGGCTGAAGCTGCCTATAATTTCAGCAATACTGTATTGAGGCTCAAAAAGATTAAAAAAATCCTTTTAATCTTTACACTAAGGAGATGAAGAACAAGAGAAAACTTGACAGTAATACAATTAACTGCATTGATTACAAGTAAAACAGTAGTTTTGTAATGATTCAAAATATATTTTTAGGGGAAAACTACAGACGCAAGGAAATCATTGATTCGTATAACTCAATGGGTCCTTTAGAAAAAGGCAGATATTACGAGATGACAAAAGAAAATTCCACTACTCTTCACCAGGAATTTTCTGTCCCTGATGTCAATCGTGCTGCAAAATCCATATTGACCATCATGGACACAATGAAGCTATTGATGAACTACGATAGTCTGTTTCTGTTTTGGAAGTCAGATGCCAGCTCCAGTCGAAAGATTGACCGCCTCTTGTCAGGAGATATGTCTTCTATCTTTTTTAAGTGCATTGAGAAAGATGGCGCTCTGAAGAGTTTCTTGGAAGCATTGGGAAATGTCAAAAGACGCTAAAGTAAGTATTATATAATAGATGTATTATTTATTTTATCTTAATCTATTTTTCTGTCATAGTGTGAGAAATACAACCCACGACCATTGCTGCCAACGACTTCAGGAATAATATCAACAAACGTTTAATAAGTTTGTTCAATGATAAGTCTATAAAATATCAAAATTAACATTTACTTCATATTATCAATTTCTTACAAGAAACTGGGAAATCAAGAAAATCTTTCCCTTGGAAAGCAATCGAAAACAAAAAAGATACCATCAGAGTCATTGGATGGCCAGAAAAGATGTCTTTTGTGCCACTCAGTCTTATGAAAGATATTGAGAAAGAAATGTTAGTTGATGCCCTGGACAAAGGGCATGTTTCTTTCTGTTGCTCTTTAGAGTAAAAGGCTTAACTGACTTAATAAAAACATGTTTTTGTCTCTAACTTCTATAATTAATAATTTGTATGCTAAACTTGTGTGTACATCTTATCTGAAGGCTTTCCAGTGTTGTACGATAAATTCTTGCTATTACTATTTGTTATGGTTTGGTTTTCTTTATGTATTTTAATTTTCAAAACAAAAAAATGACTTCAATGTTTTTTCTTTCCTAATCCACTTTAATAATATACACGTTATAAGTATTTTAAGTAATAAATAAAATGTTACCCTTTGCCATCATCATCATCTTGTAACATGTATCGAACACTTGATTGAATGATCTCATAAATCTTGTCATAAACTTTTTGTAATCATGCACAAACAGTTAAAGACAGATGAGAGCGCTAGTCAAGATAAATCAGCAATGGAAAACAACTATCTGACGATTTTATTTGAATATTAAGATCAACAAATAAACTTGGAGCAAGAATAGATATATATTAAAATTTAAGTCTTTGGAAGTAATGATTTTGATAAACAATACTTATATGACCTTCTGCTTTGCTTTACAAAAGATAGTATGTATTTTTAAAATAATCTTAAGACTATCCTAAAAAAATGTTTTTAATGCTTTGCTCAATTAGCTTTCTTTCCCAATTGTGTTAAGTTTTTGTTAGTTAATCTAATGCTACTGCTTAGAATTATAAAAACAATGTCATATAATTTATTTATTTTCGTAAGGATACACTTTAGACTTTATTTTTTTTCAAGCAAAAACAAAACAAAATCTAAGGAAGTAGAATACATGTTTATACTGATGTCTTGGGTAATAAAGTTATTGTTTTTTGACATTTTAATTTTGTAAATAAAAAATCTTCTTTCTTAAATACATTCCAGTTATGCTTATCAATATTGTGAATGAATCAACTCTGTAAAAATTATATTGAATATTTATTTATCAATTGCACTTCATCAAGAAAAGATATTAGCAAGTACGTGTTTTATGAAACTAATACGGCATATCTTGAGTTTTATTGAAATTCTTTTAGCATCAAGTATTATTACTAGATAAGTAAAAAAACGCGCCTTTATATAAAAAGAAAGATCGAAATATTATCATTTCATAAGTTAGTCTTTATGTACATCACTTATTAATTAACTGGCTTATCTTATTAATTATATATTTATTCAATCGTAACATTTTATTAATATAGTCTATTACTTGCAAAGTCAATATCATTGCTAGCTTTATATAACAATTTAAATAATAATCAATATTTATATATTTATCTTTGATTTAACTAACTCTTCTTGTCTACTTTTGTCTTTAGTCTTCATGTTGTAACTTTTGGCCTTGTTTAATGAAAGCAACTAGCACCCTCCCCAATCTTTATTAACATATTCTTTCCAGATATTACAAAAGCTGATAGCTGCGAACAAAGTCCTTATCTTATACTTTTAAATATACTCACTTCAAAAAAAAACATGCTGGTATTAACAAACACTAGTTATATATGATATTGTTTTATAACAATAATAATAATTATGTTTAGCCTATTATTTTTTTAAAGAAAATAGAGTACATTTTATAAATAGAAAAATATGAATAATTAAAAGTAAAATTTATTATTTTATTTGACAAACAGTGATTTCGAAATGCAGTAAGACTATTATGTTACTTTTTACAAATTAAGAAAACTACCATTTTTTATGTAAAGATCTAATGTAAGATCAATTATAAATTAAATTGCTAAAAGTACGAATCGATTTGAATAGAATAATTACAAAATGTAACTCAAAGAACAGAGATCAGAAGTGACAGAAATGAAAAAGAAGATTGGAAAAACTTTGGATACAAATATCAAGTGAGTAAAATAAAGAGAAGACTATCAATTTCATTTGGGACAATTGAAGTTATAGCAGAAAACATGCTGGGAAAAGTAAATAGAATAAAATAAAAGAGAGTTTTGATCATGTCAATCAGAACATACAATGAACATAAAAAAAATAACATACCAGACAAAAAAATAAAAAAAGTAAATAAGAGAAAAGAATATACAAAAAGGACAGAGGCTGTGACTTAACATTGAGAAAATGTGACTTTGAATGTGATCATGCCAACATCTTTACACTGAAAATGAGTGGTTTCATAGTGAAAATGAGTGGAAAAAGTGGCTTGGTAAACAATACTATAACATTATATTATAATTAATATATTAAAACTTTTTGCTATAGATTATTCGTTGTTGCTTTTGATTATGATAGAGACAGCCGAGGTTTAACTTTTGCCTGAAGCATTTTTTTGTATTTTTTGAAAAAAAATTATTAATCTTTCTGTTTTGCTAAAAAGAAAAATGAAATGTTTTGAATATTTAATGAATTGCTTTATACTATTTATTTTATATATATATCTTAATGTTATGCGAAATGAAATTATATGTTTTTAAAGTAAAATAAAATAAAAGAGCAAACAAAACAAATTTTATTTATGTAAACAGAGTTAAACGGTTAGGTACAAATGAAACAAGATAATTTTTAACATTGTAACTTCCTGAATGAGAAATGCTATTTACTTGCTTTTGAAAATAATAAAATAAAAAATAAAGCATGCAAAATACTAATGAAATTAGATAAAAACTTGATATTTTATTATCTTGAAATAAATATATAGTTATGTGTATTATTGAATTAATTACTGATAGACTATAATGATATAAGTAATATATATATATTACAGAAAGAAGTAAAATAAAATCTTGAAGCATAAAACATGTATTTAAAATAGACATTTTTTTTTACTTCTTGATTAAATATAGAAAACAAGAAGTATACTTCAAACAATAAAAATTAAGCTGTCAGCTTCTCTATAATTTTATGATATTTATACTTGTAAAAGCTATTAAAGCATTTTACAGATTTGAAAAAAATTATTATTAAAAAAAAAATTAAAAAAAGAAGAAAAGAAAAAAAATGGGTGAGAGTTTGTGTTATTCTAGGGAAAAGAAACTTATCTTAGTTATCAACTTTAAATGCTAACAAATAAACTGAATAGACTTTTTACAATAATAGAGTAACTTACCATATATTGTCTCAGACTCAAATATATTATTATGTTATTCGTCTTCATTGGCATCATCATCGTCATTGTTGTCATTGTCATTGTCGTCGTCGTCATCACCTTCCACAACAAAAGCAATACTGGCTTCTCCATCATTGGGGGAGTTTATGTCTTCAACGATGAGTCAAGAAGAAGAGACGGAGGAGGAGGCAAAAGGAACGGAGAAGGAGGAAGCAAAAGGAACAGAGGAGGAGGAAGCAAAAGGAACAGAGGAGGAGGAAGCAAAAGGAACAGAGGAGGAGGAAGCAAAAGGAACAGAAGAGGGAGAGGACGAGGATTCCAGAAGGAAACTGGTCTGAGCAAAGACTGCTCGCTCCCAAGTCATAGAAAACCAAAGCTTTCTAGCCAAAAGGAACTGCATCCCGCAAAGAACCTCTTTGTCTAGAGTACCTACAGCATTGTCAAGGGCTTTTAGCCCTTGCTCTCTTAAAGTCCTTTCTTTTGTGGCATGATGTTGGAGCCTGAAGGCATCACACTTAAAACTTTATATATTAGTTAATTTATTTTTAAAATCCTTAGTATCTTTATATTTATTATTACCTTCAGAAGTGCAACTTCTTCTTCTGCTCTTTTCTTTGCCAAAAAGAGATGGACTTTGGGACGGATTTCCGCATCTCAGAAAATATTTTTTTTTATTGATTATTGAATCAAAGGTCAAAGACTTTTTTAAAAAAACGAGTATAAAAGTAAGAATAACAGTTTAATATTTCCATTGTAAAAAGTCTAAAAATTACTGTTACCATTGAATTCAAGGTTGAATGCTTGGACGAGGTAGGTAATTTGTTTGGCCTGTTTATTCAGGCTGATTTGATGTTGTTTTGCTTTTTTTGTGCCTATATATATATTTAAAAGCATTAATTCATGAAATAATTGCAATCATCTTTTCCCCTTCTTACCGATATGGCCAGATTTGTAAAGCAATGCCGAGGTATCATGATACGCTCAAACATTGGCTCTAATCGCATCTTTGAATATTTTTTTGTAAGCTAAGAACTTGTTGTACCCTAGCTGGGCATTTTCTTCTATATATTTTATGAGGTTCGTATTTTCTTCATCAGGCTCTTGGAAGCCCTCAACTTCCTCCTGGATCTTCGTCTTCAACTTCTTCATTTCGTGCTTCAGTCAATTGATCTCATCTTTCACATGATTTCCGTTGGCATCATTAGCAAGCCTATAATAAAATTGATTTTTTTAATGATAAAAAACATAAGAAAAAAGCTCTAAATACACTTACTCTCTTAGTCGGTGCAAAATTGTAAAATTTACAAAGAACAAAGCAATATTGCCTTGAACCTTACGGCCGAACTCCATCAAATCAGCAATGTCAATGTAGTTTTCTGACTACTCTACCTTGTTAACATGCTGCTTCCATTCTCACTCAATCACAACACAGTCGAATCCCTCCAACGCCTTCCTGGATTCTTCTATGATGCACTTTGCTTTGACATACTTACTCTTCAACATCAAGCCCAACTCAACCTTCTTTGTCTCATTGCAGAACTTGATGGCTCTGTATAAGACCAACTTCTGATTTGCTTGTCTCATCTTTCTGGTCATTGTCACAAAGCAGTTAAGATATGACCAGAGGCGTTCCAAACATTCATCATCTGTCAAGCCAAACCCATCTCTATATTTAGGGTTGAGCTTAACCTGGCAGTGTTGAACATGAGCATACACATGGAAAATTGGAACTGCTAGTTTTGATTTCTCCATCAGTCCGGGAAAGTTAGCCTATGTTAAGTATTGTTACTATATGCTTATATATTTAATATGTACGTTAAAAATAACTCTGTATTTACCTTCAGTGACTTTGCCAGCTTACAGACAACATCATACATCACATTGATATTGGGAGAGTTATCAGCAGACTGGCCATTACTACCTGAATCACCAAGTAGTTGATTAATTATGGAGAGAGGGTACTTAAACCCTTCACCAGTTTCCATGTCTACCAACTTAATGACTGACTCATGGCGTGCAAAGCTTGCCGCAAAAAGACCCTTAATAGGGTACTTTATGGACTTTGCCAAACCGCCAGAGCCAGCATGGAAGTTGCTGTCAAACCGACCTACCTATAAGTATAGAAAAGTGTTAGTATGTATTTAATATCTTGTCACTTTTTATTAATTACACCTTCTTCAGCCCTCTCCTTCTCATACATCTTCACCACATCGTCACCAATTCACACCTGCTTGAGTTGAGCCTCTACTTGCTCCAACTCTTCACTAACATCACCCTCACTATCTTTCCTTCTCTCACACTTCAGGCTAAAATTGCCATCCATAGCAACATATTGACAGTCGTCAATGGCCACATTACACTGGAAAAATTAAAAAAAATAAGGTAGTTTAAATATGGGGTATAGTGTAGTGTAATTTCCATATTTAAATTAGTTGATTTTTTTTTCCACTTGTGCTGAAGGTGACCTTCACAGATAGTGGAATGACTAGAGTCAACTAGCGGAATTGTGGGTGGGGGGTGCCGCAGGTAAGGTTTGTTAGCACTTTAGATATACTTATCTGACTTGATATATAAAAAGAAAGTTTTTTAAAACTGCGTATCTATTTTGATATTCTTTATATGGAACCATAAAGGTCAGGCACCGACATATTATGAAGATTAAAAGTAGCGTAAAGGTGACCTTTAAGCTAGTTTATTGTTAAGAAGTTTGGTCATCAGCAGCAAAAAAAGGCGTCTTTAAAATTATGGACCAGTAATATGTTCTTTATTTATTTGGTTTCCCGTTCTTATTAGGCTAGTAATGGTTTACGCTTTTATTTTTATTGGAAAGAATAGAATGTTTCTAGGTTTCAGATCTAATAATACTATTCTATATCTCTAGCTACTTCTTGCTCGGTCGGTTTGTTATATTTGGGATGAAAAATTTTCTACAAAAAAGAAATACCTAAAAAAAAATGAGCTGCTCAATACGTTTTTTTTGGGGTACGAGCAGTACTTTTTGAGAATAGATAAATCGTTAGTGATGGGTGTGCGTGTGTGTTGGATATTTCAATTCTTATAAACCATTAATACTTATATTGGAATTATCCAGTACAAAGACCAAACAATAAAATATTACAAGTAAAGCTACGGAATTTTGATTCCTTTGACTATGAAAATGATTGGAAAAAAGTAATTTTTGTGAATTGGGCGATATAATTATTAATTTACATACCCAAAGCAAACGGATTTATTTGTAGATATAGATAATACTTATCAA